TCAACATGGGCAATGAAATGCTAGGTGTGGAGCAATATGTAAAGTATAAGTTCAATACTGAAAGAATTTCCTGACTGTTATGTACCTAATAGTTACTCTTTTTCTTATTCTGTTCACACTGTGTTAAAACTTTGTTGAAATTTTCATCTCAGAGTATAAATAGGACATAGAATGCTATTTTTACTAATTCTCAGTATTATTGAGAATTTTTTGTAAGTATTCTAGATGAGGAAGAACATACAGGTGATTCTAACCTGTTTGGAACTTTTTAAGGATCTCTTTGTTATGCTGGGCATAAGAAATGGTAGAACTTAAGCCAAGAATCCAGATCTTTAGGCAAAGTTTGAGGGGTTCCAGGCTTAGAGAAGTGAGGCGAGAGCAGAGAAATGTGAAGATTCCAAAGATTAGGTAGGAAAGGGTCCATGATTCATTCAGAAGCTCAGTGTGTTTTAAAATTATGCGTTTCCTTTAACCCATTGATTTCATATTTGGAAATGTATCTTCAGGATATTATTATAAACTTCTACATTTAAGTACAAGATTGTTTATTGTAGTGGGTTTTACTGAAAAGTTAGAAACAACTTAGATGCCCAACAATAGGCTAAATAAATTGTCACATCCACACAATGGAATTCTAACCAGGTTTTTAAATTATGTAGCAGTGTTTCTCAGATTTTCTTGTGCATCAGAATCACCGCCAGATCGCTGGGCCCCACCTCCAGAATTTCTGATTCAGTCAGCCTAGTATAGCGTCCCAAATTTTCCCAGGTTGATACTGATGCTGCTGGTCCCAGGGCCACACTTTGGGAACCACTAATGTAGATTTATTTTATTGACTTGGAAAAATATTCACAAGGTTTTGTTAAGTTGAAACAAAGCTGTTTACATTGTATTCTACATGTATACATGCAGAAGTTTAGATGGAAACATATCGAGTTGGTATCCCTGGTTGTCTTTGGAGTGGATCACATTGTATATTCTTGTCTCCTACATTTTGAGTGACTGATTTTTCTATAATGAGCATAGTATTCATCACTAAAACATAATCAAATTTCTTAATTTAAAAAATAAGATCATGAAGTCCTGGCCAATAGCACTAACCAGCTGGAAATATCAAACTAGGCTTGGTCCTACTTACCCTCTGGCTTTTTTTTCCCCCTGAGGAAGATTCACCCCAAGTTAACATCTGTTGCCAATCTTCCTCTTTTATTTGAGGAAGATTCGGCCTGAGCTAACATCCATGCCCATCTTCCTCTATTTGGTATGTGGGTCATCACCACTGCATGGCTACCAGCAGGTGGTATAGGTCTGTGCCCAGGCACTGAACCTGGGCCACAGAAGCTGAGCACAATGAGCTTAACCACTAGGCCATGGGGCCATCCCGTGGGGGCTTTTTTAACTGTCTTGTTAGGAGTGTATATTCAGAAGCAATCACAGATACAGGCACTGTGGTGGGCCCATAGATACATCCTGTTCCTGATGGGCACAAAAACAGAAGAGGCTGATATTATATGGAGAGCTTCTACACTTTTTCTTACTTCATTTTAGTAGTGCCATACAGACTTCTTCTGGGGATATTTGAAGAAAAACTGGGTGGGACCCAAAGGGCGACCTGCCAGAAGTTCGAAGCATCTGGATTGGCGCACTCTTTGTTTCCTGACTCAGGGTAGATCCATTTCCCAGGGTATCAGATTAAGGCGTCTCCTTTCTGGAAAAAAGATTTCATGGTTTAAATTCCCGTTCACTTTTGTGTCTGTGGCACTGGCTGTCTCCTTTCCAGCATGCAGCCTCAGGGGTCATGATGTCCCTTCCCTGCTGATATCAGCATGCCAACTGTGGTGTCATGCACACCAAGCACAGAGCCGCCATTCAGCTTCCACAGTCTGGGTTCAGGAAGCAAAAGAGCTTCTAAGTTCCTACAAACCTTGACAGATCTTCCTTTAGCCTTGAATGTGCTGAACAATTCTCAGGGGGAGGCTGGGACGGGGAGGGAAAGAGAGGGAACTAATGTAAATGTCAAGGGTGAATATGTGTCAGGAACAGAGGGAGCAAACAGTTGCCTCCAATGTTCAGGAAAAGGAAGTGTGGGCGACAACGTAGAGAAGTACGCCATAGACTTTTCAGTGGAAAACTTATTTAGTTAGCGCTGGTTACCCTTTCCCCATGTCCTTGCATTACTGTGGTTGATAAACTAGGAGGGAGCCACGCCACTTATTTAGAGCAAGATTTCTTTACAAAGGTCTAATAGAATGCCAGTGTTTGGCATGTCATATTGAAAATAAATCTTACAATGGATTCAATGTTTTTTATTTTTTTAACGATTCAAAATATGAAATCATGTTCTGCTTTAGGCTATTGTTAAAAGAAAGAGACGTTACTTCTACACTGACTTTCCAAGAGGTGACATAGAATTTGTTGGAAAATTGTATTCCATAATACGTTGCTTTCCCCCAACTTTACGTGTGAATAAATGGCGCTGAATATTGTTTAAGTTTAAGTTACAGCTTTTTCTAAGTTTTGCAAGTTCGAAACTAGCGAGAAATGCAGAAATAATTAGAAATACTGGTTAATGATTCAGTTATTTATAACTGTTGTTATAATACAAGTTCTTGCCTCTCCCTTGTGGTCCTATAGCATGAATTTATTATGTGAACCTATTTAGGACCCTGAAAAGGAAGTTATGTGAAATCTTCACCTATTACTTGAGTGCCAAGAACAATGTTCTAATTAATTTACCAAAAATGTATTGAATACCCACTCTGTGCCAGGCACTGTCCTGGGATATATCAGCCACTCTGCTCAAGAAGTTCACACTTTAGACTGGGAAGACAGTAAATCGTCAAACGACCACAAATCTAATGTGTCCCATGCTAATAAGCACTAAGACTCAAAATAGGCAGGACTATTTTAAAGACTTTGTATTTTATTGAAAGAAATGGGAGGTTTTTGGGTGAGGATGGATTTAAGCAAGGGAGTGACATGATCCAACTTCTGTTTATAGAGAATCAGTTTGGCTGCTGGGTGGAGAATGAGCTGTGGGAGGCCAAGTGTCCATTGAATTATTACCCCCTCCTCAAAGTCATATTTCATTGATGACAATTCTCTACCATTAGACCTGGAGATATGATCCTATACAGTTGATTCTTGCCTTTTCATACTTTTGGTGTAAAATTGATTTCTAAAAGGAAATTTTTATATCCAAAGTATCCCTTAAACAATTTTTTTTCTTTCTGGAAAGTGACTTTTAGATACTTTCTCTTGAAACTGGAGTTTATCCGAAACCTACTTTTTGTTTTTTTTAAAGATTGGCACCTGAGCTAACTACTGTTGTCAATCTTCTTTTTTTTTTTAATTTTTTTATTCCACTTTTTCTCCCCAAATCCCCCCAGTACATAGTTGTATATTTTAGTTGTGAGTCCTTCTTGTTGTGACATGTGGGATGCCACCTCAACGTGGCCTGACAAGCGATACCATGTCCGCGCCCAGGATCCGAACCAGCAAAACCCTGGGCTGCCGAAGTGCAGCGTGTGAACTTAACCAATTCGGTCCCAGGGCCGGCCCACAAAACCTTTTTAATAATTACTCTACTTTCAGACTACTTGATTATGAAAATGTTCATTTTTTTGTGGATAGAGTTTTAAAATATCTTTAAAAAGCCAAGAGATACTTAAGAATTTTTCAGCGGAGCCTTTGTGTCTCTTATTATATAGGTTAATGAACTTGCTTGGGATTTTGTTCTTTTTTTTTTTTTTTAAACCTGCATAATAACGTATAACAGTGTTGGTCTCTTTATAATACTGTTTCATGTTATAAAGTATTTTGGAATTCTTTTCTTATATTCCTTGGTTTCCACTGGCAGTGATTTCTTCTTCCACCAACCTCTGCTTCCCCAAAGTAACAGATCCACTAGAGAATTTTGCACCACCCACCCCAGGGCCCTCTTTTATAAGCCCTCACATAATGTATAGGCTCACACACATGCCCGAGTCCACCCTTTCTGAGCCTTCCATTCCCCTGGTTTCCTCCTCAGAACTAAAGTTTTAAATTGCCTTCAGCGTCTATGTATAACCTACACAATAGAAACTATCTCATTACTTAATTATACTTTGCATTTAACTAAAAGTGCTGTTAACTAACTTGATCCAGCTCTTTACTCACTGCATTTGGGTTTAAGTGACTTTTGACTAATTTCAGAAATCAAATCTACCCTCAAAGGATTGTATATTTACTACCAGCAAAGCTATTCCAAATACGCGCCGCAGGCTTGGAAGACAGATCCAGAAAAGGAGAACCAAGCATATGTGTAGCAACAGGGGCCCCAATTAATAACTGATCAGTCTTTCAAAGAGTCACACCTCCTTTAGAAACATAAGAGCCTGGATCTTGATTTTGCAATTGCTTTCTAACTGGTCTTCCTGCTTTTATTCTTCACCCTTTACAATCCGTTCTCTTCACAGAAAGGAGTTATCTTTTTTAAAAAGGCAAATTGGATCATATAATTCTCTGCCTATGACCTTCCGGCGGCTTCCCACCACAGTCCGAATAACTCCCACGGGCTTTAAAGGGTTCTATTCAGGATGTGTCTGCATCAGCTCTGTCCTCCTCTCCAAATGCTCTCCCCTTGTCCCGTGGACTCCAGTCACACTGGCCTTGTTCTTCCTTGAATAAGCCAAGCTTAATTCCGCTTCATGGCCTTCAAACGTGCTGCTCTTTCTGCCAGAACGTGCTTCCCCCAAGAACTCTGCACGGCTGCCTCCATCTCAAGAGTCGGTCTCTGCCGCTTACTCAATTTACACTTCTTCTGCATCCAAACAGGCAGCACATCTGTTCCTTGGAATAACAGGGCGACTCTTCCTCAGGTGTGATCAAGGTCAAAGTACCTCTTATCTTATCACTTGCAGATGACAAAAGGTATAAATCAAACCAGGACTATGTGGGGTAAACAGTTCAGGATTTGCACACAGCCTTATGCACACATGGTATTTCTTTTTTCTTTACAGGTTATTTTCAGAGCTTTGTCACCACCGTATGACGTGGAGAACCCTTATGGTGCGAAAGCACAGGAGCAGCTGAAGATCACCAACCTCCGTGTGCAGCTGCTAAAACGACAGTCTTGTCCCTGTCAGGGAAATGACCTGAATGCAAAGCCTCAGCATTTTACACACTATGCAATCTATGATTTCATCGTCAAGGGCAGCTGCTTCTGTAACGGCCATGCTGATCAATGTGTACCTGTTGATGGCTTCAGACCCGTCAAGGCCCCAGGAACATTCCACGTGGTATGTAACCAAGTGCACACCTATGAAAGACAAGTCACGAGTTCCCTTCAGCTTTGGGCGTTGGTAGTCTAAGTTCCCTTAAGGTTGGTCTGTGCTTGCATAGTACTTCTTCCTTCTTCCTCTGCGATTCACTCCTCCAACTCGTACCCATCCTAGAAAGTGCCTATTAACTTGTGTTTTAATCTTCAATTTTAGAATTATAGTCAAGTATGATAACCTGATTCTTTGGAAAGCATCCATGCCAGTTTTGAGTACCAGGACCTTCAGATATAAAGTGTAAGATGAGCAGTAGGAGAGGTTGGCATAATCATATTAGTGGCATTATCACACAGAAGCCAGCTTTGACGGTAAGGTAAATGGGGACCATTGTTGAGTAGATTTTAAAGTGGAAAAAATAAGAACCTCAGTTTAAAGCCTTGTCTCTTTTGCTATCTGGCCAATAGAATGAATAATAATTCTCTGTGAAGAGCGGCCTGACCCCCTCTCACCCTAAGGCAGAGTTAAACTCTCCTCCAGGTTCACACGTCTTGTGCTTTCCTCTGAACTTTTGCTTGTCTGCATCTTCCAGGAGATCCTGAACTCCTGAGGACAGGGCCTGGGTGACCTTTGTATCCTCAGGACCTCGTGCATTACCTAAGCCAGAAGAGGGTGTTCCGTAGGTGTCTGAATGATAGCAACATAGGCTTAGAGAGATGATGAAAAATTACAGTCTTGTTTGTCCTCATATGACCTTCTTCCAAAAAAGATACAAAGTGGCCCAGACAGCAGGCACCTTGTTGGGCTGCATCCAGAGCTCCGGATAGGAGTAGGCAAGGAGAAGGCAAGTAGGAGAGCACCTCAATTTTTTAATTTTATATTTTGCTCTGATACTTCTCATCAAAGCAAAATAAAAAAATAAATAACATTTAAAAGGCCTCAGAGCATCTGACTAGGACAGTGGCCAGAGAGTAACGAAAATAGAAACAATGCTGTTACTTCAGTGAATCTGGGTCTCTCCAGTTGAAGAAAATGCAACATTCATTCAACAAACACTAGTTTCCAGACACTAATGGGTCTTTGAACTAATATTGCTTTAAATAAAGGATGGGATAATTTGGTATATCTAAGTTACTTGGGTTCAGGTATGATCCAAATAGAAAATAACCCAGAGATTCTAGAGACATGTCAACCTACTCGACTGTAAAACTAGAAAGTTTTTGTGAAGTAGAGTGCTAGTAAATTTTTGTCATTATATTTAAATGAATTAGTGAAAAGAGAACCTATAGGCGCAATGGACTGAATGGTTGTATCACCCCAAAATCCGTATGTTGAAACCCTAATCCCAGTGTGATGGTATGTGAAGGTGGGGCCCTCTGGGAGATAATTAGGTCATGAGAGTGGAGCTCTCATGAATGGGCATAGTAGCCTTAAAAGAAGAGGTCAGAGAACTAGCTAGCTTTCCGCCCGCCATATGAGGACACAGTGAGAAATTAGCAGTCTGCAGCCTGGAGGACAACCCTCACCAGAACCTGACCATGCTGGCACCCTGACCTTAGACTTTCAGCCTTCAGAACTGTGAGAAACAAGTCTCTGCTGTTTATAAGCCACCTAGTCTTTAGTACTTTGTTGTAGCAGCCTGAACTAAGATGCTGGCCTTTTGTCTCCTCAACTGTCTCTTATAATTCAGGCCTTATAGAATCACTTCAGGGTCGAGTCCTGAGCAAAAGGACAGACACAAGCCTAGAGGCCCCCATAGCATGGCCCAGAGAAGCCATATTTGTGGGTAAATGACCTGTGAGACAACCTGAATGGCTCTTATCAACCAAACTAAATTACCAGGCTCCCCAGAGACTTACAAGACATTTATCAGTATACATTTAAAAGGAATAGTTTTGTTTTCTTTTACTTTTTTAAGTCCTCTGAATGTAAACTGTCAAAGAGTGAGCAATGCTTTCTAAGGCTAAAGTGAAAATTCTAGAAATTCCTATTTGTTCTGCTATATTCAACAAGGGATAATTACCCCAAGTTATGAGACTTTTGCAAAAGTCTTGAAATACAAGAATTCTGTACAATCTTCTGCCAGCAAGAAAACTGTCAATCCATGAGCCCGAGCCTCCGGGTCTGCGCCTGCTGGCCGTCTGCTTCACTCTGCCACTACCCGCTGCATGCTTGCTGCCCACCATGGCCTTGCAGTGCTCTGGCTGCATCCTGTCTGGGGTCCTGCCGCCCTCCACCCAGGCCTCGCTGTGGCAGCCTCTGCCAGATCCATCTCAGTGGGAGATGGGACCCCCAGATCCCATCCTAGGAGTCACAGGAATCTGTAAGAGAGACACCAACAGCAAAAAGATGAATCTAGGAGGTGGTGCCTACTGCGATGATAGTGGAAAGCCTTACATGATCCCTAGCTTCCGGAAGGCAGAGGCCCAGATTGGTGCAAAAAAAATGGACAAAGAATACCTGTCCATTGTGAGACTGGCTGAATTTTGTAAGGTTTCTGCAAAATTAGCCCTGGGTGAGAACAGCAGAGTGCTGAAAAGTGACCAGTATGTCACTGTGCAGACCATTTCTGGAACTGAGGCCCTAAGGACCGCAGCCAGTTTTCTGCAAAGATTTTTAAAGTTCAGCCGAGATGTCTTTCTGCCCAAACATCCTGGGAAAATCATACACCCATCCTCAGGGACGCTGGATGCAGCTACATGGTTATTGATACTGTGACCCCAAGACTTGTAGCTTTGACTTCACAGTGCTATGAAGGACACTTTAAAAATGCCAGAGCAAAGTGTTTTTCTCCTGCATGACCATGTCCACAATCCCAGGCGAGTGGACCCTCATTCTAAGCAGTGGAAGGAAATAGCAACGGTAGTGAGGAAACAGAATCTCTTTTCGTTCTTTGAAGTGGCCTACCAAGGCTTTGCCGGTGGTGATGGTAACAAGGATGCCTGGGCAGTGCGCCACTTCATTGAAGAGGGCATTAATATTTGTCTCTTCCAATCCTTTGCCAAGAACGTGGACTTATATGGTGACTGTGTGGGAGCCTTCACTGTGGTCTGCGAAGATGCTGATGAAGCCAAAAGGGGGGAGTGACAGTTGAAGATCTTGATCCGTTCCACGTATTCCAACCCTCTTCTCAAAGGGGCCCGGATTGCCTCAACCATTCTGACAGCTGGATTTGTGGAAACAATGGTTGCAAGAATTGAACTTCAGGGCCAACCACATCATTAGCATGAGAACTCAGCTGGTCTCCAACCTCAAGAAGAAGGGTGCTCCCACGACAGGCAGCGCATCCCTGACCAGATTGGCAGATTTTGTTTCACAGGGGTAAAGCCCGAACAGGTGGAGAGGCTGACCCAGGAGTTCTCCATCTGCACTGCTGTTCTTTTCCTTAGGCGTGAAGGTGTATAACTAGCCTAGATTTTCATCCTATTCTATTGCTTGATTGGCCATCAACCCCATCCTATCAGGATTTACTTATGTGAAGAATGAAAAATGTAATTTACTGCTCATCCCATACCCTCACCTTTCTTGGCAAAGAATAGCAGAGAGTAGGCAACTGCATCTTATTTCAGCATCCTCTTTAATGATTGTTTACTTGTCTCCTCTCAGGATGTTGCCTCTGCCTGATTGGACCGTGTACCTTCGTTCAGTGAGGTTGTGCAGTCGCTCACCTCACATAATAGGTCAGGCAATGCAGGGTAGAACCAGGAAAGAGGATGCTCTTGGCTTTGTTTTTAACCTTTATGAGCTGCCAGCTGGGCTTAGGCTTCACCCTTCAGAAAGATAACCTCCATCTGCTCTAATCACATAGACATTTTTTTTTTAAGATTGACCCTAAGCTAACATCTGTTGCCAATCTTTTTTTTTTTCTTTTTTTTCTTCTTCTTAAAGCACCCCCAGTACATAGTTGTATATTCTAATTGTATGTCCTTCTTGTTCTGCTGTATGGGACGCTGCCTCAGCATGGCCTGATGAGCGGTGCTGTGTCTGCACCCAGGCTCCGAACTGGAGAAACCCTGGGCTGCTGAAGCAGAGTGTGCCAACTTAACCACTTGGTCACAGTGCCAGCCTCTAATCATGTAGACTTATTGCATTCTGGTTTCTCTGTTACAATAAAGTTAATGTAAACCCCCCCAAAATAAGGGGAAAAAACCCAATCAACCTATAAAGAGGATCTGCATAGCCAAGTAAAGGGGATTAGATAGTTGTGTTTTTCCATTTCAAAAGGATGTTAGAATGAGGAGTCTTCATCCTAGAAGACCCTATAGGATGGAAACCTCATTTCCTTGCTAATCTCAGGCTGCTTTGAAATGGGAAGCAATTTCTTTTTAAAATAATACTAGTTTTGTGACATCCTGCTACCTGGTTTTCGTATGGGTCTCTACCTCTGCAGGACTGGTGGTATCCCTGGTGCTGTGACTGCAGCATGTCCCGAAACCAGGCAAGACCAAGTCAAACCTGGTGCTGGGCCAGGTGAGGGGCAGGAAGCAGGCTAACTGGCCAAAGCTATGTTGGCCTCCAGGGATCCAGTTGCATGAGAATCCTTGCTGGCTGTACTCCCTTAAAAAAAAAAGCCATAAGCAATTGGACCAGCAGAGGCTTAGGGTTGGAAATGTGAGTGCTTCTGGTTTGAGATTTTTCCCATCTCTAAACTTAGGTGCATTTTATTTTTATGTATATTTTTTATGGATTATAAAGAGCTGGTATTAAATTTGGAAATGGTTGCCTCTTATGAAGGTGATGTTTTTATTACTCTGATTGCTTACCTGAGCAAATTGCACATTAAAAGCATAGACGTTTTCATTTCCTTTTTTGTTGTTGTTGTTGTTGTTTTGGTTTTTTGGCTAACTAGGGAGTAGATGCCCTAAGTAGAAGTTACATGGGTAGTTGGTAAAATAGCAAATGTTAGTATCATTAGGATGTGGTATAGACGGGGAAGTCTTGATTAAATGTTCAGCCGGTGCTTTCTAGGTCTCCAGCCCCTGCTCAGTCCTACAGAAATGCTTCTCAGTTCAATTTTCCCTACC